GTATGTGTTGTGGTGAGCGCTGTGAACCGTGTAAGACTGATGAATCACAGACCTGTACCCCTGAAACAATACATTACATGTTAATTAAAAATTTTTCTTTGAAAAAAATGCCGATTCTCCCCAAAGTGATCTATGATTTCTTTCTTTTTAAGATCTTTATTTATTTGAGAGAGAAAACAAGCATGAGCGGGGGGCAGAGGCAGAGGGAGAAGCAGACTCCCCGCCGAACAAGGAGCCCAACATGTGGCTCAATCCCAGGACCCTGAGATCATGACCTGAGCAGAAGTCAGACACTTAACCGATTGAGTCACCCAACTGCCGCTCTGATTTCAACATAATTCCGATTAAGATTCCATCATGATGGGGGGCGTGTTGTAGAAAAACGGATTCTTGGGGCGCCTGGGTGGCTCAGTCGTTGGGCGCCTGCCTTCAGCTCAGGTCATGATCCCAGGGTCCTGGGATCGAGCCCCGCGTCAGGCTCCCTGCTCGGCGGGAAGCCTGCTTCTCCCTCTCCCACTCCGCCACTTGTGTTCCCTCTCTCACTGTGTCTCTCTCTCTCTCAAATAAATAAATAAAATCTTAAAAAAAAAAACGGTTTCTAAAATAAGTTCATGTGGAAGTTGTTAATTTCTAAGAATTCTAAAAATGGGAAAGAGGACCTCTTGGTCAAATAACAAGTCACCCCATAGTGACAAATAGATGCAGTCACAAAAACAGAACAGAGAGCTCAGAACCAAGTCCATGTATATATGATAATTTGATATATGATAAAAGTGCTTTTGAAATATGGGGAAAAGGATAGATTATTTAATGGATGGTGCTGAGAAGCTACACTTTACAGAGAGAAGTAAATAAAGATCCCTATCACGCCATAGACAAAGTAAATTGCTTTAGAGTAGAGGTATAGATGATCTCGGGGCCGGGGAAATATAAAACAATACCTCTTTGATCTTTGTTACTTCCTTCTAACTATGTGAGGACTGCAGTTTGAATTTATCCCTTTCCCCCTTGACTCCCATCTCCACTGGGATTGAAGGGCTGCAATAAACATCCCACAATTTGGCCTTTTATAACTGCGTTTAAAAAAATACCTCAAAGTACAAACCATAAGGTGAAAAGTTGATTAATTTTTTTTAACGATGGGAAAGACAAGGATCAAGAATTATGGATGGATGCTAAATCTTAGGAGGAAGTTTTTTTTTTTTTAAGATTATTTATTTGACAGAGAGAGACACAGCGAGAGAGGGAACACAAGCAGGGGCAGTGGGAGAGGGAGAAGCAGGCTTCCCGCGGAGCAGGGAGCCCGAGGCGGGACTCGATCCCAGGACCCTGGGATCATGACCTGAGCCGAAGGCGGTAGTTTTGACAAGGAGTAGGATATTTGCATGGCTTTACAGTGCCTCTCCACAGATTTCGTATTAGTACCTCTACAGTGTTTAAAGTGGCAGCCAATTAGGTAAAATTATTGTATCCATGTTATATTTACTGAGGTTGATAACTAGTATGGTTGTATAAGAGAATATTCTTATTAGGCAATACACTTTGAAGTAATAAGGGGTAAAGGACCATACATATGTATGCAATTTACTCTCAAAACCAGTTGAGGATAAAAAGATAAATCACATGATAAATGGGGTAAAATGTTAACAATAGGTGAATCCGAGTTAAGAGTATAGGAGTGTTCTTTGTAAACTGACAACATTTCTGTAAGTTTGACATTATTTTCATATAAGAAACTTTATAAATGGATGGATTTGGGCATAAAAATTAAGGAATTTTGCTAATCTTAGAAAAGGTTGGGGCGCCTGGGTGGCTCAGCCATCTGAGTTGGTTAAGTGGCTGCCTTCAGCTCAGGTCGTGATCCCAGGGTCCTGGGATCGAGCCCTGCGTCGGGCTCCCTGCTCAGCGGGAAGCCTGCTTCTCCCTCTCCCTCTGCTTGTGCTCTCTCTCTCTCAAAATGAATAAATAAAATCTTTAAAAAAATAAAAGGTTAATCGACTAGTGTGAATTTGCAACATTTAAACCTACAATGAATTATCTAGAATACAAGAAACTCCTGGAAATTGGGAGGCTGGATGGCTCAGTTGGTTAAGCGACTGCCTTTGGCTCTGGTCATGATCCCGGGGTCCTGGGATGGAGTCCCACATCGGGCTCCCCCTACTCTGCGGGGAGCCTGCTTTCCCCTCTCCCTCTGCCTGCCACTCCCTCTGCTTGTGCTCGCTCACTCTCTCTCTCTGTCAAATAAAGAAATAAAATCTTTAAAAAAAACTCCTGGAAATCAACAGGAAAAAGACAAGTAGACTAATAAAAAGATGGGCAAGGATTGAGTAGGCAATCTAAGAAGAATAAACCAAGGGGCACTTGGGTGGCTCAGTCAGTTAAGCTGCCTACTCTGGATTTCGGCTCAAGTCATGATCTCAGGGTCCTGCAATCGAGCCCCACATCAGGCTTGTCCTCCACCGGGAGTCAGCTTGAGGACTCTCCCTCTCCCTTTGCCCTCCCCCTGCTCGTGTTCTCTCTCTCTCTCTCTCGAATAAATAAATCTTAAAAAAGAGTAAACCAGAATGATCTATTTCTGATTTGTATACAGCTGCAATGAATAGATGTTGACGATTCCAAGCAAGGAAAAACAGTGATAGCTATTGTGCGATATCATTTATATAAATTAAAACCATGCATATCTTCACGACACTATATATTTGGGAAATGGAGCTACAAAAATAAAATAGTGAGGTGCCTATGACTGGAGGAATGGAAGTGGGAATAGAAAGTAAAAATAGGAAAAAAAATAGAATAAAAGTAGGATGGGGTGCTATTCTGGCATGTCAGCAAGACAAGAGCTCAAGAGTTGGATGAATTATGAACTACTACCCAAGGTCTGTAAGAAAAAACGAGGGTGGGGGGAGTGAAGATGGCTCCCATGCCCTAACTAACTTGGCTCAATCTTACTTGGGTTAGAAGCTGTTTTCTTTATAGCCAAGGGACCAGCTCCCACTTGCCCGCTTTCTTGCTCATTTGTGTCTAAAGTCCCCTTCTGGCTTTCTCACCACGGTCACGCCCTATTCCCGGTGCACCTTTGGGAGTGCCACCAACACGTTCATCATGTTTTTCTGCCACAAAGGGACTCTCCAAGCTTTTCACTACTAATTCAGATGCTGGTTCCTGAGGGTTTGAGTTTGGTGGGTTTTTAAAAATTCGTATAATTTACATACTATAAAGTTCACCCATTTAAAATGTACAATTCAATGGTTTTTAGTATACTTATGGAGCCAAACGTCACATAATCAAATTCTAGAATGTTTTTTTATCATCCCCAGTAGAAATCTTGTACTCTTATTCAGCTTAATTCCGTTTTCTAATCAGGCATTTATCTCTCCCCCAGGGGTGGGAGTTAAAACCTCAGAGGGCTGGTCACTGTCCAACAGAGAAATGTGCAGCCTGGGGCCCCACTGAGATCAGTTATCACTTGGCAGGCTATACCTGGGTAAACACCTGGAAGCTTGAACTGGTGCTATGCAAAGATATCTTTTTCAGTATGTATGTTTTTGAAAAAATGATAGGGGGAAAAGGATGTCCAGAAGAACCCCATCATCACCACTACACACACACCCTTCCCTGACCTCTACTCCTGAGGCTACTACACGTTTAACAGTTTCTTGTGTGTCGTCCTCGCAGAGATTTCTCAACTGGGCATTATTTTCTCCCCCGGAAAAAAGGAACCATAGAGTAGCTGTCGGTGGAATCTGCCAGGGAGTGAGGGCATGGTTGGAAGGCGGAAGGTTGGAAGTCGTAGGTCCCTACGACTACATGCCCCTGCCCTGCCTTGAAGGTTGACCAGCGAGCTTACTGTAGTCCTGTCCTGGGTCGCCGCACGTCTTGGCTGGGCTGAGGGAAAACCTAGCACAGGCCGCCCATCCAGCTTGAGAATGGGAACCTAATGCGCTTGGCGGGAGGGTCCGTTGGGCATCTGCACCAACGGCACCTGCCTGAGGCCCTAGCCAGGAACTGTTTCCAGAGCAGCAGTACTGAGTATGTATGTGTGTAGACGCCTAGTGTGTGTGAACGTATGCATGCTGTGTGAGGACGTGTGTCCACGGTGTGTGAGAACACGTGCATGCTGGGTGAGCACATGTGTGCACGTGGTATGTGTGCACTGTGTTCACAACTCTGTGAGGATGCGTGAATAATGTCAGAAACTGCATCTTATGTGTACAACGGTTTGAGTGTGCGCATACTGTGGGGAGGTGTGTTTACACTGGTGTGTACACACTACGTGTAAGCAGTGTCTGAGGAACCATGTACACGCCGTGTATGCTTGCGCGCTGTGTGAGGACCAGTGTGCACATCGAAAGTGCGCGGGTTTGTGCGCGTTCTGTGAGAACTAGTGCTAACGCTGCACGTCCCCGCCGCGTGCATGCGCCCTGTGAGGGCCGGTGTGCCCCCCGCATGTGCACACGGTGCGCGTGCGCGGCGTGAGAACCGGTGCGCACTTCGCACGTGCACGCCCTGTGCGCACGCTGTGTGAGGAGGACGCGTGCGCGTGCGGGTGCGCGCCGGTTCGGTGCGGCGCGGCGGCTCCGGCAGTGCGCCTGTGCGGCCCGCGCGTCCGGATGGAACGCGGCGGCGGTTGCGGGGCTGGAAGCGGGACGGAGGGGGCTGCGCGGGGACCCCCGCTCCCCGGGAAGATGGCCGAGTCAGGCGCGGTGCGGACCTCCCCGCCCAACCACCGACCTTCAGGTAGGGCCCCCGGGGTGCGGCGGGCGCGTGGGGGCTTCGGGTCCCCCCGGGGGGCGGGGCGGACCCACCGTGGGCCGCGCAGGGCAGCGGCTCTGGAGCGCGCGGGGCGGGGACGCAGCGCGGTGCTGGGCTAAATGCCCTTCTGCCGGCCCGCGGTCGGCTGGGCGCGGTATCCAGGGTGGTGACGCTCGCGGTGCCGGTGGCAGGGGCCCCTCTCAGGTGGCCTGAGTGAGTGGGTGCAGTTGGGGGTGGCTTAGGGTGGGTGGCAAGTATGTTTGGTGTGGGGAATCTGGGCCCACGCTGGGTGCCCCAGGGGTCCCGGGGGACCGGCCCCCTGTCAGGGAGCAGCCGGCGTGGGGGGCACTGGCGAAAGCTGAGTGGGCTCCGGGGGGTCGCCGGGGCCTGCGCGCTCGCCTACTCTGCGTCGTGGGAAATGCGCGCGAGCGGCAGCTGCAGCCGGCCCTGAAGGTGGCCCGGCTTCATGCTTCGCGGCATCCCGGGGGGCAGATCCGGCACATCACCTACTGACAGGGGCGGAGTGCCGCTTGGGCGGCCGGGCGCGAGCCCCTGGCCGGCTTCCCCCGCCAACCCGCAGGCGCTCCCACAGGCCTCGGGTGTGTTGCCTAGGGGTCTGGCGGGGCCGCAGGCCCGCTCGAGTGGCAGCGCGACCATTGCGTCTCCCAGCCCGCGAGGGTGCAACTGCTAGGAGCTATGGAGGGCTGGTGCCCCAATGGGCTGCCCAAAAATGAGCGAAGCAGGGGGAGATTTTGAGGACATATGGCAGAATTTTAGATAAGCAGGTCTCATGTCTTCGACGTTCTGTAAAGTGGTTGCAGGTAGTGCGGGGGAGCAAGCAGCGAGGAAACTGATTTCCTGCTGTTTTTCCTGGCAACACTTTTTTTTTTTTAAGTTAATGTGACGTATTTTTAAAACATTTTTTACTGTAGTATAACGTGCATACCACAAAAGGGCACAGATCTTAAGTATATGATTCGAAGGATTATCACACAGTGAAGATACAAGTATTTTATATGAGGTGAACCAAGGAAGAGAAAGAAATCAAGGGAAATGTTCTTTAGTCACTTAAAACATGCTTTTCGTGGTGGGTGGGAGGTATTTTCTGATTGGGCCTTCATTTGCATCGTTCATAGGAGGAGGTGGCTTAAGTCTTTACCAATTTGCGTTTTTCATCATGCATTTTTTTTCTTTAAATTTTTTATTGTTATGTTAATCACCATACATTACATCATTAGTTTTTTTTTTAATATTTTTTTTATTTATTTGAGAGAGAGAGAATGAAAGATAGCACGAGAGGGAAGAGGGTCAGAGGGAGAAGCAGACTCCCTGCTGAGCAGGGAGCCCGATGTGGGACTCGATCCCGGGACTCCAGGATCATGACCTGAGCCGAAGGCAGTCGCTTAACCAACTGAGCCACCCAGGCGTCCCACATCATTAGTTTTTTTATCATGCATTTTTAAAGGCAGAATTTAACAAATATCACAGCTTAGTGATATAAATACTATAAATATGTATACTTCTATTTTCATTCTTTTGCTTAATTTGAGAAACTCAGATGTGTCTGCTAGGGAAGAACCCACCAACCCACCCAGCTGTCAGAATCAGCTTTGGGGGAGGGAAACCTAGCAGAAGAAAATATTGGAAAGGTTGTTGAAGTTTGCAGTTTTATTTGGGAGTTTAAATAATACGTTATTTCCATGTTTTAAGGACAGGGAGGGGATTTTTGGTTGGGCTTGCAATTTATCTGTGGAATTTAAATTTCTTTGAAGGAACTTAAGGGGGCATTCTTATTAAACCCTAGTAGGAAACTTTATTGTAGAGCCATTTAATGCATTCTCTACTTATATTAAGATTAGCTTAAAGCTGTTTTCCTTTATTTGAAACTGGAACCATAGAAACGCTTGGTGAAGGTTTAAAATATTACACTTACATGCGTTACAGTTGGTGTGGAAAAATCGGGAGTGTTCAATTTAGGGGTCAGGTAGTACCATGGTTTGTTCTTTTGAGGGCTAGTGAGGCCAGATACTTAGAAAAATAATATCCTCAGTAAAATCTGAATTATTGAGGTTTTATTGAGGTTTTATTATTGAGGAATTATTGAGGTTTTATTATAGTCCATTCTGGATGCTGATTTTTCTTGGTTGCCCAGAGGCCTTATTTGGGATCCCTTCCTAATGAGATTCAACCTGCACATCTGGGGGATGTGAGTTGGTGAGTGGTTTTCCTAGGAACTGTTGTAGAAGGTGACTAGGAAATACCTCAGGTGGTTTCCTTTAACAACAGGTTCTTCCAATATTGAAATCCTGTGCACGTTCCCATTACCCACCAGTGGTCCTTTTTTTCTTTCCTTTTATTTACCCCCAGGATGGAAATTAGCAAATTTACTGTTCTTTCTAGTGCTTTGTTGTATGCACCGTTTAACTAATGACGAGCAAACCCTTGTTGCTTGGATCTGCTTAAATACCTTTAGCCAGCAGATAGAATCACCGGATGTCAGCTGTCAGACTGCCTCAGTGTCACACAGATCCTGTGCTCTCCTCAGCCTGAAATGCCCCCTTCTTCCCTTTTCCCTTTCCAGGGTTCACTTCCTCTAGGCTCCTCTCAGTCAGAATTAAGGAACTTCTTACTGTCTGTGCCTGAGGCACCTTCAGCAAAACACTCTTATTCTGCCTGTTACATTAACCATCCAGCCTCTCTCAGCAGGCATTCTTTGCGTACCCACTATAAGCCAGACCCTGTGCTGGTGGCTTCTGCTGCTGCTGAAGCTGAGGAGATTGAGCCCCAGAATGCCTGGGTGTGCATGCCACCTCGCCACTTTCCTGCAGTCTCACCTCAGGGAAATTATTTGACATCTTGAGCTCCAGTTTTCTCACGTTTAAAATGGGATTAAGAACAACATGGGGAGGGCACCTGGGTGGCTCAGGTCATGCTCTTGGAGTCCCCGGATCGAGTCCTGCATCCGGCTCCCTGCTCAGCAGGGAGCTTCGCCCTCTGACTCTACCCCCTCTCATGTGCTCTCTCTCTCTCTCTCAAATAAATAAATAATATATATATAAAAAAAACAACATGGGGAGACAGAAGCACTGCTTTGAGGAAGGAATTAGTATCTGTAAAGCAGTGCCTGACATGCAGTAAGTGTCAAGCTGGTTAGCAGTTATTTCTTGTTATATCATCGGCTCGAGAACAAGGCCTGGGTCTAGGTTATAGGTGCCTCTCTCAGTGCCACCTGATACAGGTATACAGTAAGTCTATAACTGATGTTTAACAATTGCATTATGCTGGGAGCAGCTACAGCTGGGTCCAGTGCTCAGTAAATATTCATGAGTTGGATGAAAGCGGTGTGTTGGTGGAGTTTGTGATAGTGGAATTACAAAACATGTTTCCTAAGACCTGTTGAGTTTTCCGGTGCATTCGATGGGTGAATGTTGTTTATTGAGTTGAACTCATTTGCCCATTGTTCCCTGGTAAGGAGAGAATTGCTTTGAGGAAAGATGAGATTCCCTTTTGTCCTTCCACTTGCAAGTTTTCCATCCCCTACCCTAGATCAGGAGAAAGTAGGGGTGCAAAAGTTCAGGAGACCCTCCCCCAGGGGCCAAAGTAGGGTGGGGCTGAGTAGGAAAGGCTGAGAGTAGGTCCCCAAGAAATCAGAATTCTTCATCTTTTTTCAAAATTGTATTTAAGACTATTCTTGAATACTTTAATTCTTTTTTTATAAAAAATTTGTACGTAATCTCTACACCCAGTATGGGACTTGAACTCACAATCCCTAGACCAAGAGTTGCATGCTTCACCAACTGAGCCAGCCAGGCACCCCGTACACTTGAATTCTAAAACTGCTTGGACCTAAGAAGAGCAAGTTGAGTTTGTGCATGCGTATTAACATCTCAGGTCCTCTTGGCATTAGGAAGGACCCATGGGTCACGAGGGAAAGACACAAAGTTGTGTTTGGTCTGGGGCTTCTGGCCTTGTTTAGTGATGGCATTATGGAACTGGGACTTGGCAGGACCTTCAGGGCAAACCGCTGAAAGTCTGCCTGACCATCAGCGGTTTCTCTTCTAATGTCGCGACCCTGGTGACACAAGTAGTCAAAGTCTTTCATTTCTATTTCTAACTCTTCTTCCTCTCCAAGATTAAAAGATGTTTTCCTCTTATTCACGTGCCCCATATTCTGGAGTAGTTTGGTTTTTTTAAAAGAACATCTCCTCTTTTATAGGAATTATATGGATTGACTTATAAAACAAGGATTTGCAGGGTTGATTTGAGCAGGAAGAGATGGGGATTTCTGGGGTTGTTGGTGTACAGTCTGGTGGGCCTTGTTGGGAGGATTTAACAGGATATAACTCGGAATGCACTCAGCTCCCAGGATGCTGCTGCTGATGATACTGCCTGGTTTGGGGGGACTATTGGTGTGCTGCATTGGCTCTGGCAGCAGTCCAAGGATTTGAAAACTTTCCCAGGAAGTGGCTGTGGTTGGGGGTAGCTGCTTTTGGGGGACTGTGGCCTGGAAGAGATTGCCCACTGCCCATCTCACCTCTCAGGTGACCTCCTTCAAATGTGGAGTTGGCATCTGGGGCTCTGGGGTAGGCTAAGCTTCGGAATCCCCCTCATCCACCTCTGAGGTCTGTCTGAATGTAGGCCTTTATCTGCTTTTCTATCAGGAAGCATTTTTGCTATCTTTTTGACTAGGAAGTTTTCCTCTTTTTAAAAGCCATGTGATTAGCAGAGTTCAGGTTGTGGCTTAAGCAAAAGGAAGACAGGTATGAGTGAGCTACACAGCCGTCAAATAATCATGCAAAATTCCCGTGATCCTTTGGAATAGTAGGGTGTTTCTCCAGGGTACGCAGCTCCTGGCTGGCACTGGGTTCATTCACTATCTGAAAATACCTGCTTTTCCTCTTGATGCCAAATAGGCTGGCATCTGTTAGCCCCAAACAACCCTATGGAATGCTTCTTGCTCCTTTGTCATCTCCACCCTCTTCAGT